AGGTATTTTGAATATAAAAAAGGGAAGTATAACCAGGGAAATGAAAAACAAGTAATTTTAGAAGCCAAACAAGAAAACGCATCACGAAAGAAAGCACTGAATGAAGTGACCTTTGTAACTTCTTGAATAAGAACCGGAAAACGCCCGCAAACAATTTCCTCTTCTGAATCGATAGCTTCCATGAAAAATTCTGACCAAAATAAAAACTGCTGTTTTTCTTTTTCCACAGGTGACATTGTTGCAGCGCAACGATTCAACAGTTTTATATTTTCCATTGTTGATTTCAAAAACCTATCATAAGTAAGCTTATTTAGATAAAATGGTCACTATTATCACACTGCTAAATGAGAATATGGTAGATGATTTATGGCTCCGATAATAAAATCTCTTTCTTTTTTCCACATCATATTACCTCTTCCTCAGTTCATTTCCTCCTTTTGTTCCTTAGAAAAATATTTCAGAATTTCGCACCTTAGGTTACAACATTAGCGAGAAGTTTCAGTTCTGAAATCTCGGCTCGAAATAACTGATGGGTCGAGCAAGCAATGTGTTACTGCTACAATAAGGAACAGTAGTTCCAATATCACTAAATATTTAAGAAAGTAATCATCCAGCAAGGAATTTTTCGCTTACCAAATGGGTGGTTTCAAAATTGCCATTTTCAACGCTGCTTGGCATGCCTTGGGATAATCGTCAGCTAGAACCGAAACCTCAAAATAAGTGGCCACATCCCAATACTCGGTCAAGTTCGCCAAAGCACCTTTCCTTCCAAGTAAACTGTTAAGTACGACAGCTGTAACTTAATTTAATAAATAAAAGTCTCAGATTCCCAACCATTTGTATAGGTTTCATTTTCTGTGAGTAATGGCTTTAATGCTCAACATCTTATCTGTTATTATACTTATAAAACAAGTATTTTGCATTAAACCGGTTGAGTTCTATACAATATCCTAAATGATAAACGTGGCATAACAACAGACATTATATCAACTATAATTAAGCAACACGCTACACCAGCAATGACAGCTTATAATTAAGCATACCAATTTGTTGCATTTCACTATTATTTTCGAATGTTTCACCACGAGCACGCAACAATGTTATCAAATTTATTCCCGAATATTCCAAAGGAGATAGATCAAATGCTCGCCGATACCACTCAATTGCTTTGTCCAATGATTCACGATCCTCATAATTACTAGCAATGAATTTATCCTTGTAGATACGCCCTGCTAAGCATATTATATCAGGTGATACGGCAGCGCCATCATTACAACTGGAAGTTACTTGCAATACCGTTTGCAAAGCTCGATCACGATCACCCTCTTCATTACGTCTAAAAAAATTCAGCGGATTATAAGTTTGCGACAAACAGCAAATAATCCTTGAACAAATAAATGAAGGAAACTAGACTCCTCATAATCCCAAATGAAAACCTTGTCAAGCGTAACATCAGCAACAGCTAAATCTTATAATCTCCAACACGGCGTGAAGTATTTTTGGCTAGTTTAATTAGTCGAAGGACTAATCATCATAACAGCATCTAATATTTCGCGTCAAGTACATTTTTCTCAATGAGAATCTTGATAATAGATGAGCACCTTATACAATTCTATTATCACTAACAAAAGACCTCACTGAACAATCATAGTCAATACAGAACAAAAGAAGAAACTGCCTTCCAGTCTAGTGCTGCAAATAAATCATTTAAAAAAAAAAGAAAAAACGAGGTCAAAACAATAACCTATTGAGCGCAAAGGCATAAAGAAAGCGTATAGCCTGAGAGTTTACAATGGAGCAATTTTCGATCCGGCTGAGATCATCGTAAAGGCTTATCATCGCATCATAATTCTGATAGTCTCTAAAATCAACTTCTTGATGAAAATCTCATCTGTCAGGTATGTTATATTAACAGTAAAGTAGAAACAATTTCATTTTGCAACAATTATTTAAATGCAGACTATTTTATTATGGTGCGCTTTCCCGCCAGACAAGTATTAACAGACCTGAACTTGATGACTGAATTAAATTTTATACTTCCCCATATAACGACAATAATTCCCTAAACAATCCGGTGGGGATTGCGACGTAAGAATGGAAGCGGCGAAATAAAATCAGTGATACCATTGGTATTACGAAAATTGTTCTGTCCTTTGATTAGAAAAAATCCAAATCACCGATAATACAATTAATCAATGGATAACAGTGGTAAACTGATATTCCAGGTTTTTTTGTAAAAGGCTTTGAAATTTTTTTTTTTTAAACATACAAGTAACTAGCATGAAAGCTTGAAAGCTGTTTGTACTAGATGACTGGGCCAGTAGTGAAAGCTGGTTGGAAATTTATTAAATGCATTTGAACAGGCAAAAACACAACAAAAAAGTAATCATTCTAAAAATCATTGACCAAATTTACCTATAGCTGAGCATGAACTGATAAAGTGTGTCAACACTTAGTACATCCGGATTATCCAAACGGTGTCTCATTTTGTCAAGGAAACGATTAGCTTCAGCAACGTCTTGCGTTTCACGTGCTTTTCGAAGATCAGACAAAAATTTTTCACGCGAATGTGCCGAAGCTTCAATTTGAACACTTTTCAAAGCCTGCTTCATCCGTGAACGGAATGTTACCAGACGTCCACATTTGGTATACGGCTGGAAACTGTCGAGTAATAATTCCGGAAAAACTCATGTCTGACATAAAAAATACATTTCACTCTAGACGAACTACGAATTCCAATTCATTGTAGTGTCCTTTACATAGGAAGCATCATTACGGGAAATGTGCTCCGTTGATCTAATGGTAACCTTTTGGCCAAAGCATTACTGAAATAATTAATAAAAACTAAATGAAAAGAAAAAGGAAAGTCGTTGAATTTTCTAGAAACAGAATACTACCTTTTCAGCTATTTGATCAATACTACTTTTTAATTGCGACAGAGTCTCAATCTTTGAAGTTTTATCGACCGATACCAACGAAGAACTGTCATTCGGTAAAATGTATACTATCAGCGGTAAGTGGGCTAATGTTTTCTGAAATATATATTCTTTCAAAAATTGTGTTTCTGCAATTACTTTACCGAAAACTGGAAACACTCCCTATAGAATAATAGACATATCATAAGCCGTTTTTCGATCACAAAAATTATTTGAGACATTATTCCTCAATTATAATGAAAAATCCGCAAATAATTCATATCGTAGATGTATCAGGATACCAAGCTGTTCACACATTAGATGCAAGGTATCTTCTATGGTGACATAACTGGATATCAGGTTCAGCCCATCTACAAAAGGTAAGCCATCTAATCAATTACTTTAACCAATGATTATATAAAAACAAATTAAATCATTTAATCCATAAATGTAGCACAAACTTTAAGGGCTTTAACAAGTGATTCAGAAGTTTCCTCCGTCAGGATGATGTTATATGATTGGCCCATGGACTCACGTACTCCGATATGATAACAAAGACTTGGTTGCTGTTGCGCAATGGAAACATCGACCAGTGCAACATCAGCGTTGTAAAACACATCAAGAGCATTTGTTTCGCCAAAATCAAGACGATCAAAATCTAAGTGCTGGAATAACTCTGTCAACAATTCCCCGTTTCCAAATTTTTCAAAAACAGTACTTCACTGTTTTTTGAATTTGTCAATTTTCTCTAAAAACATGCACCTCAAAAGCGAGAAGGCCAATATAACTAAAGTTATCAATGTTGTTAATCTTTCTGAAAAATCCATACATGTGGATGTCATTTACTCACCGTTAAATTAACATTCAGTGAGTCTGCAACCTTCTGAACATCATTGCAAGCCATTTCACGTATTTTCATATTTTTTGCAGCCTTCAAATCCATTACCAGTACAATCTGTAAAAAGAATGTAGATATGTCAAAAAGTTTCTTAAAATTACTCAAGAAGTATGAAAACGTGGTTTAACTTCCGTATTTTCATTCCAGAATTTCCCTTTTTTTTTCAACATCATGATATATATGATATAAGTAAGATTTAACACGGCAACTCCACTTTCTCCTACTCGTGATAAAACCATCCTTTATATCTCATTTTCTAAAATCACAGCTAAATACAATTCCGACAATTCCATCTCAAGCTGATTCTACCAATCGAAGTGGAGTTCATTTTGAGAATTTCTCAAGGTGGAGTTCATTTATGCCATGAAATTATCAACTTTGCTGTTAAGATAAAGCAAAAGAATGAACCTGAAGTTTTCGGGCAAAATGTGCTGAAGCATTTGTAGCATGTTTATCGGTGGGTAATGGTAAAGTGATAACGGATGGTACACGGGTAATGACACCCGGAGGAGCTGTGCGAGGAGGTAGTGGTATTGGACAAATGTCCGCGTTCGTTTGTTCAGCCATTATCTAAATACTTCATCGCAGATATCGCGGCACCATATAAGCATCTGGATTTGCTATGCGTTATTACTGTTGTTGACTTTTGCAGATGAAATTAATGCTGATGAACAATAATCTATAAAATGAAATAAGACAGTAACAAAGGAAAAGAAAGGCACAAAAAGTTAACTTTTCATAACTTCTTGGTATAAACCTAAAGAAAGAACGTCCAGTTTGGAAAAATATTTTGCTTAGTAAGTAATGAAGTAGTTTGGAACTCAATTTTGGCAGATCAGTTTAAATGGAATACTTAGTACGACAGACACTTAATCCAAAATTTTGCCAACAACTGATCCATAACGCGTAACATGGTATGCCCGATATCTTACGGCCCTCTTTCGCAACTCATTCGTTTCGTATCATTTTCCAAATTTAATTTGATGTGAAATTTTTGGGAGACATTTTGTTTTTACCTTTTTGTTGTAAAATTTTAACGAAGGGATAATTACTCAGTGAGACAAATGAATTGTTTGTTGGAATTTGAACTTTTCAAAAAATCTCAACCTTTTCAAAATTTAGTGTTAATGTTCCAATTTTAAAAATTAAGCTCATTATTAGGCATAAATTATGAAGAAGATTAGCTTAAATGAATAGATATTAAGTGATTTTATAGAAGGAAAGAGAGATGAATTATAAAAAGTTAACCGTACGACAATGAATGCTTTGCTTTTGCTGCTTTCTTCATTTAATTCTATTTTGTTTTTTCTTTTTTTTAAATTTTAATTTAACATTAATGTCGATTTTTAATTTTTATTATTAATCTAATCTTAATTCAACTTCAAAAATAATTTATTTTCAAATTTAATTACATTTTCTTTTTTGCGTTCTCTCATTTCGTTTTTATTTCTTCTTTTATTTTCTTATGCCAAAAAGAGGATGAAGAGGGAGAAAGAAAGAGCGTCCGATTAATAAGAGAAAAGTTTTGATTAAGTAATGCAACTGAGATTATTATTATAAAATAATTTTAGCCTTGTGCTATGCTTGTAGTACAGTGATTCTTGTCTATCTCAATTCTAACTTTTCATACTTCTGAGGACAGTTGCGCACTGGTACTTCAGGTACATCCTTTTTTCTTGTTATTTCCACCAATACCTTTGTAGACAAAAAGCAAGTGATGTAATATTATTTGAATTGATATCTTTAACCTAATTACAAAAATTTGAGTTCATTGAATTTATTGGAAGGAAGTTGGGATGATTCTTCTAACTAAACAAGCAGTTTTGGTGATTGACAATTTTATCGCAATCGACCTATTTGGTACCAATTCAGATGTCAAGTATTGCTTCCTTTCCGATGCTAATTCTTATTACTGCCATAAGTTAACTGTGAGTTTGATTCAAATTTTTGAAATATCTTCTAGGTAGATTTGATATATATATAATCTAAAATTGGAAATCCAAAATTCGAAATTAAATATGATAGATGTAACATCTGGATTTGTTTTCCGTTCACATCACGCTAATCTGCTAGTTATAATTTGTTAATTTGAGCAATAATTCTATTTAATTCGACTTGGTGATAATTGGTAGATGTTCTCGAGAAATTGGTTTCTGTGCATGCATTTCATTATGCAGCATTCTCGAGATGTTTTAAATAGCCATCGTGCAAGAAAAGTAATTTTGTAGGGTAAATGACAAAACAATGGAATATATTTGTTCATCGATAACAGCCAAATTGTTATCTGTAATCAGTACTCGAAGAAAAAAACGATACAGAATTTTGAATAAATGGATTCGACTATTAGATTTGAATATCTGGCATAAAATGAGCAAGTTTCGGATGATATTTATAGATGCAAATCATGCACCTGGTGCCGTTATGTTGATCATTAAAAAGTGAACATCGTACTACTCTGGGCAACATCTTATATACGGGTTTCTTTCGAGCTGATACAAGATTTTATCAGAATGTGATCGGTTTATCAGCACTGCAAGAAGCAAGTCTTTATTCATTATTTTTTAGATAGATTTGGATGCTTCACATAACTTTTAAAATTTATGATTTGTAGAATTCATCTTAGAAAACATAGGATCAAAGTTTTGAAAATGCAAAACAATTCTGTTGTCGTAGAAGGAGGATAAATATGGAATCAGAATTTTAAGGCTACAGAATCAGAATACTGGACCCGTGAAGCGACGATCATGAAATCATAAATATGATGTTTTGGAATCGTAAAACTAGTATTTTGAATGACTTTGTATTAGGAAAGGATTTTCCTCCAACCGATTCAAGTGGTGCCAATGTTTTTAAGAAAAAATTTGGTGTCATTTGCATTGATTCAAATTACGTTTATTTCACGAGATAGGAATTCCAAACAGCTGATCTTCAGCAAAGGAAGCGGCAAATCTTCTACTGAAATATAACGGAGTTGATAATGTAGCTATTTCGGTGCCAATAATTGGTTGTGAAAGTTTTCTGGTCAACATTTTTCGCGAACTCAAGGTATTCTTTATTAATTGTCAGGGAATGGTTTAATTATTGGTTTAATTTTGTTATATTGTTTAATTATATTGGTTTAATTTGCCTCGTTATATTGGTTTAACTTTCTTCTTTGACGTTGACTTTTCTGATTACGTTTCCTATTCGACTGCCATTCCTCCGACTCGTCATATCTCGAGCTTTGTTATTTTTCATCGGACGAGAGTGGATTTTAAATTACCATTGATGACCAAAATTTGTATCTGTTGCAATTTCCTAAAATGTTTTTATAAAAATAATAAAATTTTCGTGTAGGAATAAAATAAAACTTTGCAGTATAAAATTTGGCTGCATCCGGAACGCTTTGAAATTGCTCAAATTCTCGCAATAGATTATTTTTCTGAGAGAAAGGCGACACTTATATTTGGACTTGCTTACAAATGTTTGTTATCTTTGGATGTCTTAGGTTTCAAGAGCAAAAAGTGCTGAAAATATTGCAGTACTTCACTTCTCATCTTATTTATTGGTTTTGAGAGTGTTACGTTTTAAGTTGTCTTGATTTTTCCAATATATAATTTGATTGCTTCCTCTTTTAGTACTTATTTCATTGAATTGAGATTTATGATTGCATAACTAAGCAATTTTAGTCACAATTAGCATAATGCATCATTTTATTTCTTTTTTTTTTCAGAGAAAGTCACAAAGTTCTTTCCACAACTGATTCTCATATTATCAAGATTTCCATGGCACTTTATGTTATGCCAAATATATCATTAAAGTAAGAATTTTTACCCGAAATTGTTTAGCGATATTTCGAACTTTTTTTCTTTTTGGATTCAAGAAATGTGGAGGAGATTCTGTTTGAAAAATTATTTTCCTTTACCATTTGAGAATTTACTTGTGTACTAAGTATTTCATTTATCTGTTGAATGTTTCATCATGATCAGCAGTAGATTTATCATAAAATTTGTCATTTTCATTTACTGATTAGCGGGACTTATCCAGAAAGATTCTAACTAGCATATGAATTAATACATTTACTTGAACTTTTGATATTATGAGCTTTTAAAATTCCAAAATCTATGATACTTTGTCACATTAATATCAAGATCGTTAGCAATAGATTTGTTATGAAACTTCTTATGGAAAGGATTATTTGTTATCAAGAATATCAGAATTCTCTCATAAATGGAGTCAGTATACTGTTAACTTGATATGCTGCCAT